TATTCTCGATATCATGAACAAGAGGGTCTGAGGACATACTGGACTGGATTTGCTTGAGAAAAGTTGAATCAACAGTCAATGTTGATTTCACTGCTCGGAGATGAAATTGCTCCGGTTTCAAGAGGACCGTTCTTTGTTGCTCAAAAGCTGCATCTCCTTCTTTTGGTGCAAAATAAGAACGTCTAGACAGGGCATCGGACAAACCTTGTTGTTTTCCTGGCCGATAAGTGATAATGAAGTCGAATCTTGACAAAGACATACTCCAACGAGCTTGACGACGATTCAACACGCGTGCTGACATGAAATACTCGAGGTTCTTGTGATCTGTATACATAGTGACTGGACTAGAAGCACCTTCTAGATAATGACGCCATTCTTGAAAGGAATCCACGATTGCAAGAAGTTCTTTATCGTGGATCTCATAATTGATCTCGGCTGCTGAGAATTTTCTTGAATGAAAAGCTATCGGATGAAGTTTGTCATCTGTTCCCATTTGTGATAAAACTGCACCCAAGGCAAAATCCGATGCGTCTGTTTCCATAAAAAATGCCTTGGAAAAGTCAACACGATATAAGACTGGTGCAGAGACAAACGATGTCTTCAAGGCTTCAAATGCTGCTTCCGCTTCTTGATTCCATTAGAATTTATCTTTACTAGTCAAGCGTGTAAGTGGAGCTGCAACTCGTGAGAAGTCTTTGATGAAGATCCGATAGTAATTGGCAAATCCCAAGAAACATTAGACATCTCTCACAGTCTTTGGAATCTTCCAATCCATGATTGTTTGGACTTTCTTAGAATCCATCATAAGACCATCATTTGAAATGATGTATCCTAAAAAGTCAACTTGAGTAGTGTGAAATACACACTTTTCCATCTTGGCGTACAATCCTGCATCTCTGAGTTTTTGTAATACTTGACGAACATGTATTTCATGTTCTTCAACATTCTTAGAATAAATCAGGATATCGTCTAGGTAGCAGACGACAAAATTGTCTAAGAATTCACGAAATACATCATTCATGAGATGTTGAAAAGCAGCTGGTGCATTCGTGAGTCCAAAAGGCATGACATTATATTCAAAATGTCCGTACCTGGTTCGAAACGCAGTCTTCCATTCATCTCCTTCTTTGATCCGTACTAGATTATATGCTCCTCTTAGATCTATTTTTGTATAGATCTTAGCTTGATTTAACTGGTCAAGGAGTCCTGATATCAAAGGTAATGGATACCTGTTCTTGATTGTGATCTTGTTGAGTCCTCGATAGTCAACACACATTCGTAAAGATCCATCTTTTTTCTTTACGAATAAAATTGGAGCTCCTGCTGGAGATTTTGAATGGCGTATGAAATTCTTCGCTAAATTCTCGTCAATATATGTCTTGAGTTCAGCCAACTCATCTTGCGATAAACTGTAAATTGGTCCAAATGGTGGCTGAGTTCCTTCCTTGAGATCGATTGAACAATCGTATGAGCGATGCTCAGGAAGAATATCTGCATTCTTTTTCTCAAAAACGTCTTGATAATCCTGATATTGACTTGGAATGCCACTTGAAGTCTTTACGCTTTCAGAAATAGGTGCAGCATAAATAGCAAAAGTTGATCCTTCTTTTGCTGCGTGTATAAATGCTTTTGCACCTATAGGTGCGAGTTTTACTATACTAGACTCATGGTTTTTTACTTGGTTAATAGAACTGTTACTAATGCTCTGAGGAAAATCAAGTTTACGAGAAATCCAATCTATTCGAGGATTATACTTTTCTAACCATGATAAGCCTAAAATTACTGGATTAGAGGGAGATCTAATTATATTAAAAATTACGCAACTACTATGACCATTTATTACTACATCTACAGGAAGTGTTTCGTGAGTTACATCTCCAGAAGACAACGGACGACCATCTATGACTTCTACGTGTACAGGTTTAGTTTTTTGTATTAATGATATTCTATGACATCTAGCAAATTCTTCATCTAAAAAACAAGATGAGGCTCCTGAATCTACCAAGGCAGAGGCTTTGTAATTATTAGGTCCTAAACGCACATCTATTATAAAACAAGGAGATGGTTCTGAGGAGAGGATAGGACCTTTATTAGAAGTTGTACAAGATTCCAGCCGCACGGTCCCTATTGTAGCTGGACGTACTCGTTTTCTGACATACTGTCTTCTTTGACAGCCGTACTCCTCATTTTGTAGTTACGTCGCTTCTTTGGACAATGTTGAGCAGTGTGCTTAGGTTCTCCACAATATAAGCACAATCCTTCTTGTCGACGACGAGACTTTTTTTGCTCAGTAAGAGGTTTGAAACATACCGCATCAATTTGCATATCCTCTACTTCTGAAGGTATGTGTTGAGGAGACGTCGGTGTTGCCATTGTATTGTAGTAACGTTGAGGCCCACTTGTGCGACTCTCGGATCGAAATTCAAAAAGTCGATTGTCGCACTTCACAGCAAAGTCAATTGCTTGACTCAATGTTTGAGGATCAGGTAAATTAAGCATCAATTTCTTTACCTCATATTGTAATCCGTAGAGAAATTGACTCACAAGTGCGGCATCATCCCACTTGATATCAGTTGTAAGTTGTCGAAATTGCGAAGCATATAATGTTACTGATCGATTGCCTTGTCGCAAAATACGGATCTTGTTGGTTGCAACACGAATTGCATCATGTTCTCCAAACATGGATCGAAACTCCGCCAAAAAAGCCTCCAGATTATCCAATATTGGATCTCGTCGTTCAAGAAAAGATGAAAATCATGACAATGCTGAACCTGAAAGAAGTGTACCAATGAATCTAACTTGTGACCCTGGAGTTGGATAGCTCTGGGGTTGAAGTTCAATCACTAGTTGGACCTGATTGATGAATCCTCGAAACTTGGATCTGGTACCATCAAACTTCTCGGGCAAGGCAACTCTCGGTTCTCTAACACTCGAAGGGTGTTCCATTCTGGGAGAAGAGACATGGTTTGGTGCAGATGTTGAAGCAGCCCCAATCATCTCTATATCTTCACTTCCTACCATTCTTGTTGCTCCTTGTGGTGGTAAATTGAGTTGATGCATCGCAAGCATTAACTCCCTCAATTGTTCTTGCATCTGTGCCATTGCACTCTTCATTTCAACAAGCTTTGCCATAGTAGCACTTAGAAAAGAGAAGATGTCTAACAACGCTCAAAACAAATAGAAGAGAGGAATTGATAACAAAGAAAATACTAAGAACAATATCAGTTTAAAAGAGGGTAATCCGCAACTTCTAATGCGCTTATGTCTTATCAAGAAAAAGGGGTAATCCACTCTTAATCAAGAAAAGACAAAGCTCTGATATTGTAAGTGTACTCTTGTCAATCTGTCAGGGACAAGAACTCGATGAAAGCTAAAGAGTAAGTGAGACTTTTCTCAAAAAGAAATAGGACAAAATAGAGATATGTATATTAAGAAAGAAACTGGAATGGCTATTGCCAAAATACAAGAAAACTAGAGACCCTTGAAACTAGACTAGAAGCAAGAAAGGAGTTGACAAGAGTGAAGAGGGCTTCACTCTTGCCTCTATATATACTATCTAACTAGAAGCCACGTGGCGATGTTCTATAAGACCTCCAATATATGTTGACTTTCTAGGCCACATGCCTTTGCTTGCAAGGCAAGTTTTCTATGGATGGACCACGTAGTTAGCTTGTTCTTTAAGCTTCCAACATGCGTGGCACATGGCTAACTTGTTGACCAAGTTTCTAACCTAAAAGTCAACTATAGACTCCTATAAAGTCAAAGCAGCGTCTATGAAGCTTCTAAGAAGCTTCTCTAGAAGATATTACACAATTAACCTACTTTTACATACTTTTATCTATTCATATAGGTAATTATATGTATGTCCGTGACATTATTCCCAACAAACTCTTGATCATTACTAGCAATGAATTCGTTGATAAATCATATTAAAATGAAATATTCATATAATGGAATATATTCATGTGTAATTTTTTTGAGATATTTAAACAATTTCAGCAAAAATGGTTTTTTTTTTTTTTTTTTTTTTTTTTTAGTTGTTTTGCTTCAATTGCAAACTCCACCCTTTAAACAATGCATTGACGTTGTCATGATTTGTTCCCATCAACAGAAAAATTTGTTTAAATTTCGCAAAGCAAACCCTATCTGCAAGGCATGGAATGGAACAAAATAATAATTCTTCAATTGTAAACTCAATGTTTAAAGTAAAAAAAATAAAATAAAAATGTTTTCGTTGTAATAATTTGAATTGACTAATAAAAAATTAATACATATACTTATATATATATATATATATACATGTATATCAGCAACCCATTAGAACTGTCCATGCAGCAAGTCATCTGGTTTCAACAAACTTCCAAGCAAGCAAGATTGGCAAAGACATGATACGTTGAACTTCGTCCATGCAAAAACTCAAACGCACTTGTCCAGAAAAAAGTAACTGAGCAAGCTCACCCTAACGCACTTTTTTGTGCCAAGGAACTGGAGAAAGCTCAGGCTCATAAAGCTAGAATTTGCAAGTGCACCCACTACACACAGAAAAAGAGAGTTGAAAGCTAACCCTAATGCCATGAGAGAGAGCGAGCATCGGAAGATAAGGGGGCAGGCACTGTCATCCTATGTGCCACTCTGCAAGGGAAAAAAAAAGGCAGCAAATAAGCCCACAGAACCCCCACTTGCTTGTTCCACTGAGATCAAGCTGACGTGGAACGCGGCTCCGCGTGCTGACTCAGCTTTTCCACAACGTACCTTCGTCATGCTACTTTTTCGTTTGCTCCCCTGATTCGGGCTCCAGGTTCACACATCACAAGAGGATGTATGATACTTCAATGAATCATATCTGGATGAGCAAGGTAGTACACGTGGCGTTCGGACATGGGTTGAGAGGTCGTATTCAGGAGACATGGCGAATGTTCAAATAGTAGAAGCGCGAGATTTGGATTCTGGCGGGGTGAGGAGAGGCAGGGCTGGTGCGGGGGCGGGTGGGGCCACTGCGCGCGCGGAGCTGGACGTGGTGTGCGGGAACACAAGTGGCTGGTACTCGATGCCAGCAGGGAGAATTATTCGTCGGTGGAGCTCGGTTGGTTGGACACTTCGGAGCAAGTGGGGAAGGAGGAGAGCTAGACATGTCGCAGTGTTTGGGAACCGATCAATTTGTTTATGAACTTGAAAGTTGACTCCCCCCACGGGCCGATCGCCATCTGTCACATTCGTCGACCTCCAGCCTCTACCCTTCGCCATTGTTAAGCCTTGCATTGTTTGTACCAGAAACTCGGCCGTGATTGATTCACGAGGCAGTGAAGTCAAAACGGCGTGAACAGATTTGTCGTTCTTGGAGTGTCTGTGATGAGTACGTCTACGCTAACTTGCCTGTGTCCTTTTGAAACCGGAACATGTGTAATGGAATCGGTGGTGTTGGAATCAAGGCTGTAGAGATGGATTTCAGTTACCGAGTCTGGACTTAGAAATGGTTATGGAAATGGTTCGGACAGAGTGGAGTGCAGTAGAGAACCGTATTATGGCTAGGACTTGATTCTGTTCAGGTGGTTGAATGCAGAGCTACTTGGAGATGCGGCATTGCGTGGACTATTTCGTTCTGTTGCAGCGTTTCTCTAGTGCGTATTTCAGAATATTTTATTCCGCAGCGGTAGAGTGCGATCGGATACTTGCGAAGCTCAATTTATTCCTGTGAAAAAATCTGGTAGTGGTATCGGTGGATTTGAGTGCGGAGGAGGTGCTGGTGATTCGGAGGAATTGTGCTTCTGGGCGCGATTTTATCTTGCGGTTGAGGCTGGTAAGGTGCTCAATCTTCTCTGCGAGTGCAAGCTGGGGACCTATTCAGCAAAATATAGCGTACTTTTGGGGTTCAAGTTGAGTTGGAGAATTGAAAGGAGCAGGGAAACTTTTCTTGAATTGGTGGGTGTCGAAGCATTGTGCCGCTCTCAGTGCGTTTTTGTTAGTATGTGTCACTTGCGGCTGCCTTTTGCAGGGACTCGTCGTCCCTGGTGTACTTGGTTGGATTCTGAGCTTGTTTTTGATCTTTTAGGTTGTTTGGATTACCGTTCATTCATGGACACCGCATGCGATGGAGCTGGGATAGCGAGAACCGCTCGTACTACTATTGTGATTCAGTTGTTCTGAAACAGTGTTTCCATGAAAAAGATTCATATGAAGAAGAAAGAGATATCATCGAGACTGGACAATAATCAGCGGTTGAATGCATCGCAAGTTGGAGAAATCGGTGGCGAGATGAAGTACACAAATCGCTAGGAGTGATTAAGAAATTGAATTGTTTTCGTGGTATGGTGAGCAGTGATCCGATACTGGAGGATAGTTGAGGCTTGCAGGCTGAATTCTAGCACATCTTGTAAGTAACAAAAGTCCTTAGGACTTTTAGGAGCGATCCATGCTCCTTAAAACATGGCGTTTGAAAATGAAGAGTCATTCGCAGCGTCTTCCGTAGAGGAGAAGTACGAATCTGCTGTCCGCGCCAGGGCAAACATGGACAGAGACTTTTTATGCCCAATTTGCCTCCACACAATGAAAGATGCTTTCCTTACTCGCTGTGGACACAATTTTTGCTACTCATGCATTATGACCCACTTGAAGAATAGGAATAATTGTCCTTGTTGTGCTCAGTATCTCACGATCGATCTACTCATGCCGAATTTCCTTCTAACAAAGGTACGGTCGCGTCCTACTTGGTTAATCCTAATCAGCACCATAGGTCTGTAAGAGGGAGCGTAGAAGTTATGATTCTTGCTAGTAGAAAGGATATATATGTTTACGCTGAGGCTGAACCTATGTCTGAAATGCTCTGCGATTGCTGTTGTTGCAGTTGATGAATGAGTTATCTGCATCGATGATGCTGAAGAATGCGTCTCCAGCAGAACAACTACGTCTTGCGCTTGAGCAGGTTGGCCCTTCATTCAATGGTGTGCAATTTCTCTGACATTTGATATGTATGTTTGAGTTTTCTGCCTGGATGTTCTGCATGTAGCTGACTGGAATTTTGTGACTGTAGGACGCGGATTTGCCTCCTAAGGAGCTAGATTCTCTATTACTACTTCTTAATGAAAGGAAGCAGAAGCTTGACCGAGAGGAAGCGGAGATAAATACCGAAATAATTTTTGACTTTTTGCATCGTTTGCAATTTCGGAAACTGGAAGCGATGAAGGAGGTGAGTTCTTCTGACTTCTTTGCTTCTTCTGTATTACGTCTCAACCATTTCAATTCCGCAAGTTTTTTTCGGTTTCATGGTTATATAAAATGTTTCTCATAGTACAATTTTTGATGATTTCTATAGGTTGATGTTCCAATTTTTGAGGATAAATCGCTCGCCCACTTCTAGAAATGTTTGTCATGTCCTTTTTCCAACTAGCATCCATTGTTCTTGCTAGTGAGCTGATAAAAACGCGGACGATATAACGAATCTTATATTTATGAAAACCGAGTGCATCTAGAAATATATAGTCCATGGACACTAAGATATTTAATCCTTACCAAGTGCATTCAACACAACTTCTCAGAATGTTCTGTTTCACCTAACTTTGCGATTTGTGAAACAGGTTCAGAGTGACCTCCAGTTTCTGAAAGACGACATAGCCACAGTTGAGAGAAGATTGCGCTGTCTACTGGCATCAAATAAGAGCCACAGCAAAAGAGTTTGCGAGGAATCTCCGTTGTCCGATTTAGATATTCACACAGAATACGGTAGTACAAGTACTGGAGGTGCAGTATCTATGTGGCGAAGTGGGCAGAGTGGTGCATATACTCCACCTGGCGAAGAAAAGTTGAATAGAGCGGAGAGAATAAGAATCAGAAACCTGGCGTACACTTCGGTTAGTACGGATATTGAAAATGATCCATCAGTAGACTCTCCTGGTGAATATGCAGGTGCACATAAAATAGCCAAGAAGCGTAGAGTCCTAGCCCAGGTATATTTTTAGACTAATGCTATCACTTGAAATCTTTCCGTTATCATATGTGTGTTTGAGTACTCAAATGCTGTGTACTGTATGATTAGTCGCTGATAGTAGTCCGCCATGACGTGAACATTGTGCGCTTATCTTGACGTCACTTTTTTTTTTGGCAAAAGAAGTGACAATTATGCTGGAGAAGGGTGACTTAGTTCTCGATGATAACATGCAGTTTGAGGAGTTGCAAGGAGCTTACTTTTTGCGAAGACGACAGATTGCTTTCAAAGAATGTCAAAAGCAACAGTCACAAGAATCGGTTAGCAAAAAGGGCGCTTACAAGGATTGGGATACATATGATGATGGTTTGGATGACTTTCAGTCCATTCTTACGACCTATACTCGTTACAGGTATGTCTGTTTCCTTTGGGAGGTTAATGGATGCGATTTTACCTTGAGATTGTGTTTAAATTCTGTCTCTGAACTTGAAGGTTCAAGGATTGTTGCTCCTCCTACATCCCTTGTCCATGTCTTTTCCTTTGTGCAGGAAAGGAAGGTTAGTGACTTTGTTCAATCTGTCTTAGTGCAAGAGATTACCGTGAAGTTTAAGGGAAGGGCTTTGTTGAGATTGGTGGAGTATAAATCACTATATCTTGTTGCATTTAAATTTTGTTTTCTAATGTCTTTGTTGTCTAACTTAACGTTGTGATGTATGTGAGCAGTCAACTTCGTGTTGTTGCCGAGCTTCATCATGACGATCCTTTCCAACCTTCTTCAAACATAGTGTCCAGGTAATTCACTTCAGACCGAAATATTATGCTTTGTGAGTGAAATTTAATTAGAGTCCTTTGTCAGTGTTGCTGGTTGAGTTCAATGTATTGTCGAGCTGCCACCATTACCCTTCTGATGGTTCCACAGGATAAATGGAAAATAGTTGGTTCTATGTGACTATTTCTGGGAACCAAGGATTTGACTAAGAGATCCTTGGTTCTCAGAAATATATTTCACGAAATCGTTCTCAATCTTTTGAGTCATTTACAGCATTGATTTCGATGGAGATGATCAGCTGTTCGCAACTGCAGGCGTTACAAGGCGAATCAAGATTTTTAATTTTGCAACGGTACCCTTATAACTCTTGATTGACCGATCATTTATTTATAATTGCAGGTTTATCATTTATTTATTTATAAGCGCAGGTTCTATGTGATTATCTTGTTTTCTTTTTGATTCTTCATAGCTTGTCATATTCAAGACTAACGTTTCAGGATTTTTGAAGTTTCTGACATAATGTTCATGGTCTATATTTAACTTGTTGAATTGTATTCAAACAGGTTATAGACGACGTAGTAGATGTGCATTGTCCAGTAACGGAAATTCCAACACGATCCAAGCTAAGCTGTCTAAGTTGGAATAAGTTGAAAAAACCACTGGTTGCTAGCAGCGACTATGAAGGCATTATAGCAGTATGGGATGTCAACCGGAGTCAGGTAAATCGGAGTGGATTATTGGCACAGCACAGGACTGTTGATGTTCCAACTTGGGTTCGTACCAGAAATATACATGTATGTCTTTGCAATGCGTCAATCATTTTCATTTACGTATATAACTATATACATTATTTCAAGTGTATAGTCCCTGCAAACATATGTTGACATGTTCTGCTCGCAAATTACCATTGCCAGAGCGTTGTCGAGTACGAGGAGCACGAGAAGCGCGCCTGGAGTGTTGATTTTTCCTGTATAGATCCATCAATGATGGTCTCTGGAAGTGACGACGGCAAGGTCTGTCTCATGGTTCCCTAGCTTATTTTTGAAGGACTATACGGTTGATGTGTACACTGCTCTTCTTCTGTTGCTTAGTAGCTTGTATCGGAATTATTTATTGGTGTTTTGTTTTCAAGTCCCTAGTGAAATGTAACAAGTAATAACCTGTTCAATTTTACTCTGCACAGCATCTAAGAAGCAGATTGGGGAGTTTTGCAGGTAAAGGTTTGGTGCATTAATCAGGACGCTAGCGCATTTAGCATAGATATGAAGGCTAACATCTGCTGCGTGAAGTACAATCCCGGTTCCAGCAACCATATTGCTGTAAGTATTGGATTGCTCAATATAAGTGTCAGGGACTCTGAAATTCTTGTATTGTTATGTGAAGCATTCTCGCGGTTTATTTTGTCGCCTCTTTGCATGACGTTTGTATTATGCATCTACCAAGGCATCTCAGTGTATCATTTGATGCAGCCTGATAAGGTTCCAGTGTCTTACGTCACCTGGTTTGTGTAATATTGTTGACAGATCGGCTCATCGGATCATCACATACATTATTATGACTTAAGGAATCTAAGAACACCACTCTTTGTATTCAAGGGTCATCGGAAAGCCGTGTCTTACGTAAAATTTATGTCTTCGAATGAATTAGTGTCAGCTTCTACCGACAGCACATTACGATTATGGGACGTTCAGACAGACACCTCTGTATGCAATGACCTTCTCTTCCCACGACTTCTGTTTTGTCATGATAGTGAGTATTGTCTTGAGGGTGGAGCTTTCATTATAAAGAATGCATTGATAAGTTACTGCTATGATTCGGTGACAAGATCATTCCGATGCCAGCCCCCTCCCCCCCCCCCTCCCCCCTCCCCCCGTCACCTGTTTCTTTTTCGCGATTTGTGTAGCGTGCTAAGTGACTTCGCAAAACACTTAGAAAAGTCGCTCGCTACCCTGTCGTAATTTCTGAGGTTTACCTCTCCTGCAGGTACAAACGCTTGGAGGACACACCAATGAAAAGAATTTTGTGGGGCTTACTGTAAATAGTGACTACATCGCTTGTGGCAGTGAAACGAGCGAGGTTTTTGTATATCACAAGGTATGGCTATAGATAAGATTACATCCTTTGTAGCCCTAGTTTGTTTTTCACTTTTCTGAATTTTTTTGTTGATATTGAAGTGCCACCTGGGTTACTCTTTTCCTTCCGACTGTGAATCACTCTCACCAAGCGCTTTCTGTTTGTACCACAGGCAACGTCGAAACCGTCTTTTTCTCATAAATTCAGATCTTCATACGCTGAAGACATTGGGGATGATATTTCCTTTGTTAGTGCAGTGTGCTGGAAGAGTGAGAGCCCGACCATGTTGGCGGCCAACTCGCAGGGCACAATTAAAGTTCTTGAGTTGGCTCCTTGATCTAATTTAACATAGTGACTGTCACACAATGAAGTTCAACGTTTGGCAGGGAAACAAATGTTTCAATCTTCGTTTGTATTCATTCGTACAATAGAAGTATATAAGTTCCTCGAATCTATATGTCCCCCAAGTTCTAAACTCCATAAATTATGAATGGATAAACTGGAGTAAAGGAGATTCAACCCTTCAGTTCAACTCTAGCAAAGGATTTGAAGATGGGACGTTCCGTCAGAGTGATGTTTCTCTGAAATGACGGAAGTTATCCCCTACCTCATATTTGCATTCTAAATATTGCTTTTATTAAACTACTGTGCTGGTAATTCATGAGAGTCTCTTCCGTTGGAACTCTCAAGCTCTTAAATTCCTTCATGTTCCCCATCGGTAGATCTTCTTTGATAAAGCTGTCAACGTTGTCACTATACAGTTGGAGTCAACTGAAGCACAGGCTCTTCTTCTACTGTGGGGGGATGGCGACGATGCGGGGAACGGCCATGAGGGTGGGTGATTGCGGGTTTCATACCGTCAGAAAACAGCAATTCTAGACGCGGAATGTGGCGGTGGAGTCATTGAAGACGATCTTCCGTCACTCGGCAGCAGCTCCAATGCTCCGCAGTCGACATTCTCACGGGTGTCTCCACGCTCTGGAGGAATCCATCGCAGTATCTACATCTATCTCTCACTCGCTCTTCCCATATATATATATATATATATATATATAAACATAAATATATACAGATATAGCATACAGGATGTCCGTACAGTGAGGCGTCGTGAGGCTTAACTGCAGTCACCGGAGAGCTTCTCATGAGTCTGCGCTGTTTTAGTTATCACACGGTGTATTTTTCGGAGGAGAATGCGGCCTCAGAAGTGCAGGAGATCGCCACGACTTGGGGAGGCAAGTTGACAGCGGGCGGATCTTCTCTTGCCCCCGTCCCCCCCCTCCCCCCCCGCGAAACGAAGCCCTGCATGGTTGAGCGGAGCTCGTTTTCGGTCGGCAAGTGAGGTCTGTTGCATGCTGGAAGATAGCTGCCAAGGCTACATAGCCAAAAGCCTTTGAGAACTTGTGTGGGACCGTGTAGAGTGTGATGGAAGATGATGGCTATGGTGGTGGTTTCAGTTTTGTTGCTTCTTCTTCACAAGAGTGGCGCGCTTGTCCACCTTTTGCAGTTTCTTCAAATGATTTCCGGCTGCACGGTACACGTTACATACACCTTGTTTAGATCCTGTTCGCAACCCACCTTCTCCGCCCCTGAATCAGCAACCGCAACCCTGTCAACATACCAAAAAGTGCAGACCTGGCAGAGAGCCGAATCCTCGAAGCAGGAAGAACGAGCGCAATGGCCAGCGTGTGAAATTCCGGAGGGATATTAGTGAGGAGGACAGACCTTTGACATCATCGAGAGCCTTTCTCACGTTCTGCACACAGTTGCCGCAGCACAATTTTATGTTCAGCTCAATGGTTTGTGTCTTCGATTTAACTTCCTTAGGCTCCTCCGGTTTCTTCGTCGTAGCTGAGCCGGATGGCTTGGCTTTCATTTTATCCTCGATGAACTTGGGTTCCCTCTTGACTCCCGGGATAAATAACTGCAACTTATGTGCACACCAACACCATCAGCACCGAGAATCATCCGCTTGGAAACAATATCTCCTAACTAGTTAAAAAACCTAAACCGCAAGTATTCTAAACCCGTTTTCATCATCGAGCTCACCTCATCAAGGAAGCCGAGATAATAATACGGTCAGGGGTCACGGAAGTTCTCCATGGCGCTGGAAGGCGTGAATAATGAAATTAATCTGTTTAACAAACGATGCACCAATTCATCTTGGAGGAGCTGACAATGCGAATCTCTCAATGAAACTAGACAGCGATGGAGGCGGGAGGGCAACTTTGGTGAAAAGCACTGCGAACTCGCCGCGTAACGCATACATCACGACCTTCTCTTGGAGGTACGCGATGACTCCAATGCACCTCGTTTCGGGACGCGTTTGCTGCCCTTTCTTCTGCCATCGCAGATTTGCCGCGCACGCGCGTCGACTTACGGACTCTGACAATATAGTAATCGTCCTACAGATACTGTACAAAACACAGTTGACATTGACCGGCTCGGAGAGATTGAGCACACAAGATGTTCCGCTTGGAGGAACAATCTCTTGGAGGAACGCTCCGAACGACTTTGAGATTAGAAACGAACTGACTCCCACCAACTTCAGGATGCTTTGCAGGCTCATGGGTTGTTATTTAGGGGAGATAGGAGGTGCCTTAGAAGTTCTATTCTGATGAGAAACACAGCTGCAAGGTTGCAAAACATGGGGACCGAAAATAGGAGCTTATGGCATTGTGGGTGTTCTGCACTACTTGCAAACAGTGACTCAGCAAGCTCCCCATTCTGCAACTTGCTCCAAATCAAACAATATAATTAAAGAATGTTTTACTTATCAAAGCATTACTGGCAGTGGTGCAGACTAAATTTCTGTTTGTTTGTTTTTTGATTTGTTTTGTTTTGTTTTGTTTTTTTTTTCTTCTTTATTTTCTTTCCTCTCGCTTTTGCTTCCTACTTGCATCATGTGCACTTTGATGCTTTAATGGTATTGATGGTGATGGTGTTATTAAACGTTTAGTTTATAGTTATCAATGCTCTTTGTTTTTAGTTTTGTATTATTATTATTATTATTATTTATTTACATTAATCATGTGATTTAAATAATTTCAAGTTTAAGATTACAATTATAATCAAGAATTTTAGATTTTTATTAATAATGTGTTCTACTCAATTTTGTAAGTTCCTTTTCTTCACATCATTCTTCCAATTAGGTGACTTAGCTTTTAATTTTCCGCTGTATCCACAACCACTTTAGACAATTCCAAAGATCATCACATTTTGATGACTCTCAAGCTATTTATTTTCTTTTGTGGTTATTGTTTTATTCCAAAACCTACGTACATCTAAGGTACTACAACCCATATGGTGTTGAGAATTGAAACAATACAATATCAAACATTTAGAGAAATTGCACCAACTATGTCTACTATCAAACACTTAGACCATTGTTTTACTAAAAAATTTTGTTAGAAATACAATGTGTTGCTCATAGCCAATCCTTAAAAACAACCTCCAAAATTGACTATCAAGCTTGACCAAAATTCTATTGTATAGATGCAAAAAAATACCTTAGAGTGTCCAAAAATAATTAAAAAATAATACAAAATTTATATTGCAAGGAATTGCCTTGCATCCATTCAAGGGAGGCTTATATAATGCTTTGCCACTGTGAGTCACTGAATTGTCTCCCTTGTGTATTTAGTATAAAAAAAACATTCATTGTGCTTTAAATCACAAATTTTGTGAGTTAGAAAAAGAATTCTTTGGTAAATAGAAAAAAGATTGCAAGTAGCAGATATGCAACCTAAGGTAGAAATTATTGAGACAAAATTCCAAGATGAGTAGTTTTCTTTGAGTTAGTTAATATTAGATGATGGTCCAATGGAAGTAGCTCTTATTATTGTGGATTCTTAATTAAGATAGGAAGCTAAGAAAGAACGATTAATTCAAATCAATTCAAAAGAAAAAAAAAATATTAGTAGTTCTTCATATATATATATATATATATTAAGTTAGAAGGAAAAAATCATAAGAGTAGTGGGAAAGAAAAAAAATGGAAGAGAAGGAGAGAGAAAGAAAAAAAGAAGAAGAGAAGAAAAAAGAAAAGAAAAGAAGATAAAAAAAAAAAAATAGACAAAAGGAAAAGAAGTAGAGAAAAAGATAAAGAACAAACAGAAGGAGAGGAGAAGATGATGATAAGAGGAAGAGGCCGTCCCTGAATGGCGGCAATCCGGGCCACCCTGGACTTCGTCTCTCTCTGAGTTCTGATTAGTTTGTGTAAAGCGTTCGATTATGGCGGTGCTGTGGTGAGAGATCAAGGTGTTGTTGTTGTTGTTGTTGTTGTTGCTGTTTTTATCTTTTCCTTGTTCTTCTGATAAAGAAGAATATGTGTGGTGGAAGGGTGGCAGCTGAAGTTGGCGGTGCTGCGAAGCTACATTGTTGTTCGAGGTGGTGTTGATTGTTGAGTTTCAATTAGTCACAATGCGGTGGCGGACGCGGTCGGCAGTTGTCTTTTCCGTGTACGAGCTGTGCGGTGTGGTGGTGGATTGCATTGCGATGCTGAAATCGACGGTGCTCTAGAGTGGCAAAGAAGCTGTTGTGGTTGGAGCGAGGATTCTCTTGTACTGTGTGTGGAGAAGTACCCAACGTCGTTCTTTGCTTTTTTTTTTTTTTTTTTTTTTTTTTTTTTTGTGTGTATCTTCTTGATCTTACTCAAGTCGTCGTCAACGAAGCTGCAGCCAATGACTGAGACTACTAGAGCATTCGGTAGCAGCAAACAAGTACTACTATGCTTTATCGGTGGTGCCAACGACTGTTCAAATTGGTGGTGTTGTGCTGCTCGACGTTGGCGAGGTTGTTGACAGTCCGTGCTCCGTTCCTTCGCGCTTTGGTTCCTGTGGCAAACAACGGTGTTATTGTGTTTTTTCTAGCTTCTCTTCAATTGGCAAACTCCAGTGGCGTGCAACAATTTTCTTCCCTCTAATCTCTAGTTGTGGACTTGGTTCTGTGATCTAGCTTCGTCGTTTTCCTGTTGGTTCCCTTCTTGACATTCGGCGTTCTTGTTGTGAAGACTTGGAGGAGTCAGTTAGCATTGTAATAATAAGTTTGTGGTTTTGGTTGGACTTTGTGTTTAGCTTCTTGCATTCGCGAGGGAATTGTAATCCACAGGTAGGAGTGAAAAATTCAAGGACAAATAGAAGACTATCTTTCTGGCTAAAAGTAGCCTCTTGGCTTGATGAAATATCTTTAATTATGAATAGCGCGGATGCAAGCAAGGCATTATGTTTTGTGAGCAGTAAGGGTGTTGTTACGACTGCTGGAGATAAAGTGTGGTTTCTTCCATCAGTGGATAATCAGAAGCGTTGACAATCCATGATTGCGACTTATTTCCATCGATAGTGGAATTTGACGAGAAGATCCTGTTACTGTTTATCAACATTCACAACCTTCTTCTTGCAGCCTAGTGGAAGCGCAGAGGAGCCTTCAGTATCGCCGCTGCCGAGCAAATTGAAGTATTAGTACAAGTGTTGTGCTTGCGATGTAGACAAGAAATCCTTGGCATTAGGTGAAGTATGAAGGATTCTGGACATAGTGGTGGCCTCGTCATTGAGATCTAGAGGTTGCATTTGGCTGCTTGTGCAGTTGAGTTTTGTCCTCTTCAACTCGATATTATTGGGCAGCTGATTTTCCAAAATTCGGTGAGCTCCCAGCGGAGCCACAATAAGGCTCAATTCCAAGGGAATAAGAGCTGCCAAACGCTTCCTCGAACGCACGTTGTTGCGATATTGGGATGTGTCACCTTTGCATGAAGGGAGGATCAAAGCTACGAAGTAGTGGTCCTGATACTATATTGGCAAGGCGTTTAGTTGGATCCTTGGAGGTTTACAGGCTCAAGGGGATTGCTTTATTGCAGAGCCGGACTACTACGAGAGGAAAGCATCGAAAGTAACAAAGGTTTCAAGCTAGGAGCAACCACAAGAGGCATGCTTACATAAAAGTAAGACTGGATAATTCTAACTGTGGACGAGGTTAGAATCTAGATGAGTGTAGGATAGGTTTGAATTAGGTTAAATCGGATGAAATGTGTATGGATGAAAAAATTAATGAATTAGATGAATGTTAAAACCAAAGATGAAGTATTTGGCATGGATGAACTCTAATCATGAATGATAAGTTATTTATGGATGATAGCTTATTCTTGAATGATTTTCGTCAATAGATGAATTTTAATTGAATAAAATAAAAGAAAATAAAATAAAGAAACAAAAAATTAAAGTAAGTGTTAAGAGAAGGAATTTCTTTGGCATTCATTCGTGAGTAATTTTCTATTGTAGATGAATTAATAATAGAAGTGTTGCTTAAGGACTTAGGTGTTTTAATAAGATTGAAGAGTGATTTAATTAGAATTTAAATAAGAACTATAACTTATTAAACTTATTTAATTAATTCACTTGTTGTGAACTAGGACAACTTTCCAAATAATAGAAGGTTGTTTATTTCACACTTGGTAATTTAAAGAGGTTAGGAGTGAATTAATTAGGATTTAATTAATAGCTATAACTTCAAAACAATCACATAGTTAATTTACTAATAATGAACTAGAATAAACTTCCAACTAAAGGAGGTTTATTTTAGCTCACAGTTACCTCCTTTGGAAATCCTTTAGCTTGTGTATTACGAAAACTTTATTGCCTTCAAATAGAATAAGAGATACATACTTAGCATATGAGACTTGTTCATTTCTTTTCCTACAAAGACTACATTAGTTGCTTGTCCTCTTATTTTGTACTAGTAAAGTAAATATTTTTATATTTTTGACTTCATCATGATCTATAAAAATAAACAATTAGTCTAAGAATTTTGAACGGCTTTTAAATCTTGTTCCATTTCTTCATAACAGCCTCTTGAAGTAATAAAACTCATTTTTATCAAAGTCTTGAAAATTGCTCTAAAAATTCCTAAATAATTTTGAATAAAATTTAAAAATATTTATGTATATATTTTATAATTTTGATATCAAATTAAAGATTTTTATCCTACCTTTGTGATTTTACATAATAATAAAATTAATTTAAATCAACAATAGATTTTAATTTTTATATAAATAATTAAAAAGATATGATGTTCTTTCTCATGTCTTTTTAAACTACTAATTAAAATTTATAGATAATTTATAAATAATCAATGTAGACATTAATCTCAATAATTAAACATTGATATATAACAATAAGAAAAAATATTATTCCAATTAAGATAATTACTTCCAAAACTTATTAAGATTCTATTTTTATAATTTTTTTTGTTTAATAAGACTCTTGAGACTTATAAATCCATCTAAATTTTAATAAATACTTAAATATTCAAAAGACTCTCTAATCCTAATAGTTTTGTATTTAAATAATTTAAAACTATACTTTTAATGGTCCTACCAATTAAGATCTATTGGTAGAACTTACATATGGCAATTATTTAGAAGTATTTGTAATAATAAAGAGAATTATATTTTTACCTTTAATACAGTCTATGAAGAAATCAATAGAAGAAGTTACAAAAGTTGACATTACAATCTATTCAAAGAAGTAAAATATAAGAAAAAATAAAAATAAAAAGTCTTTGGCCTAAAAAACAAAAATAAACAATTGTTTGTGTTTGATTTAATATGGCTCTACAAGAAGCAATTTCTTGCTTAGTCACTAGCTTAATATTGGATAGCATCTATAATTCTATGGAGATTCAAACCAAAAATTATAAGATTGTAAATCTCTAAAAACTTCATTTAATTTATTAAGCCACATTAAAGACGACCATTACTTTAAGAAAAGACTACTTAATAATGTTTATTACTTTTGTCTTGAGTCTAATAATTTATTAAAAATAAAAGTAATCTATAATTTTGATTTAGAACTACTTTAAAATGACTCAATATATTAGTATTATAATCAATATTTACATCATATATTCCTTACAACAATATCTATTAGTTTGTATAGAAAAGTCTTCTTCATCCAATTTTTTAAATTGGACTAAATTATTATCAAAGATTTTTTTAATAATATATGGTTTTATCAAAAGTGCATCAAACTTGGCTAGAAATTCTACTTTTCTACCATCTTGGACCATCATCCATATCCATAGAGTAAGAAGATATTTATTTACTTACTTTATCATTTTTTTTATTTTTTTATTTTTTTTCTTTCCTTTAAGTGGTTTTTATATATTGGGCTGCAAATCTTTGAGTTTTAATTAATCCTTCTAAATGCTTTAATTGTTCTTTTAAAGATTAAGAAGTATCAAATCTTTTGTCAATGATAATGTATCAAGATGAAATTTCAAATTCTATAGGTAGAATGGCTTTATTCCATATACCAAGGAAAAAAATGTAGCCTTTGTAAAACATTTGTAAGTAGTTTAATAACTCCAAAGAGAAAAAGTAAGCTTGATTCCAATCACAATATTTTATTGCAATTTCTTATAATATATAAAAATTAATTTAGAACTATAAAATATATTAATAGTACTATTTAGTAGATTTATTAATAAATTTATGAAATTTATTAGAATTTATTTTTATAGTTTGTGAAAAATAGATATATATATATATATATATATATATATATATATATATATATATATATATAAAAGAAAAGAGATTAGGTAGCAAGCTTGTAGGGAGAAGATTTGAGGCATTGGACATTAAGTGGCAACTTAAGGCTTGTGGTAATGGATGGATGATAAGGTGCTTGGGTAGCACCTACGAGGTCCTAGATTTGAATCTCCATAGTAGTACATAGAGAAGGAAAAAAATGAATATTTTCTAAATATATCCAATTAATTTATTAAAAATATTCAGAAGATTGGCCCCACAATGCTTCTATTAGATGATTATATTAGATGACGAGGTCACTTGTTGCCTATGAGAAGGAATAAAAAATCTCTCATAATATTAACATGAGATGTGAAACTCATGTCTTTTATATATTCTTCTCAAGTGAAAAGATTGGTATATAGCTTTCTTGAAAGAGAAGGAGCTATAAGTTGATAGTCATTGAAGTTTGATGGTATCAATTCTTTAGAATCCTCAAATCTATATATATTTTTTAAAATAAATAAAACTTTGAATAAACTAAAGTTTTGGATTTAAGATTTGCACATAGAATTTAAGATTTAAAGTTTAGAACTAGGATAGAGTTTAGGATTTTAAAAAGGTAGCAACCTTCTTTGGAAGGGAATATAAGGGCTTCTAAAGAAGGTTTTGTTCTCTTATATTTGTTATATGAATTGATAATATATGATATGTTAATTAATTGAAGAATAAAGGAATTTAGATAAGACTTGGATTTTATTGCATGTTATTTGTTTTGAAAGTATTTTGGAGAAGGTAGAGCAATTAGTTGTTGCCAAAGGCCATGTGCTATTGTAAAGCAATATTCTCTCTCTACAACAATGTTTTTAATCCTTCACAGATTTTCTCAATATCTAAACTAAAGTTTGATTGATCTTTTTTGAAAGAATATTTATTTGTAGATGATAGGAAGTAGTCTTTTAATGATTGATGGTTGATAATGTGGTTATTTTTTTAATAGTCTCATTTAAAAAATAAGTACTATTATGACGTACAAAGATTTTTAGACAATCAAAACAAGCTATGATATTTCATACAAAAATATGGTAGTTTGTTTAGCATCTATCATCTTGAAACTCAATATATCATATGATTCTAAAATTCAAGCTAAGGTACAATTTATCATTGACAAATACGTGCAAGCAAAGTTATTGTTGAAGAATGCAAGAAAATTATTGATTACTTTGGTAATGCCAATAATTGCATCAATATGAATAACATATAGAACTCAATTCAATAAGTGCCCAATAACTCAAACAATCATGTAACTTGCAACTTTAGCTAAGGTGTTAATTCTTTGTTTAAGCAGATTTACACAATTGTATTTTATTTGGAAGAAGTAGGCAAGGCAAAACAAACTTTGAAAACTAGTTCAATAACATTGCTACTTACACCAACAAGAGCAATGTAGAAAATTCAATTCAGCAGCTGCCCAATTACTCAATAAGTTATGTGATTTTGCAACTCAAGCAAAGGTAGAAATTTTTATCAATAAATGCAAGCAAAATAAACTATTATTGATATAAATTGTCTACAAAATCTCATTGTAATCTCAACCATCAAGTAAACTTAGCCTTAAAGATGTTGTTATAAAAATACTTGTCCTTACATTGTGATCCATCCATTCTAATATACTTTCATCAAATTAGTTTTTATTGTAAAAGAATTGAGACAACTATCTATTTTTTGGAGAAGGTATGTAAGGTAAAACAATCTTTATTGACTACTTTGGCAACTCCGCTACTTGTACCAATAAGAAAAATGTATAGAATCCAATTCAATAGCTGTCCAACAATTCAAAAAACTATGTCATTCTACAATACAAGCCAAGGTGCAAACTTCTAATTCAAACAAATTCATACAATTGCTAATTTCTTGGTACAAGAAGGCAATGCAAAGCAATCTTTGCCAATTACTTTGGCAATGCTAATGATGTATTACATGTTATCTTGTTTGAAAATGCATCAAAAAAATTATTGTGGAGGGTAAATAAAAAATCATAATAACAAGATTTTAATAACTCTAATAGAATCTTAAATAAATTTCAATTAAACCTTAATAATTTTAATTAAATCTTAATTAATTCTTAAGAAATATTAAAGATTTTTAAAAAAAATTTATAAAAAAATCATAAATAATTTTTAAAGAAATTACAAATAAATCATAAATAAACCTAAAAAAGAAAATTTACAATTAAAAATTCTAAGTAAATCCTAAATAAATCTTAATTAAATCCTATATAAATTCTAAAAAAATCTTAAATAAATTCTAACCAAATTCCAAGTAATCTTAATGAAACTTTCATTAAATTATATTATATATCAAAATATTAATAAAAATAATTTAATTATTGATTTTAATTCAAAATTTATACACTTCTTGACTATTTAGTTAAAAATTAGAAAAATTAACTTGAAGAAGATTGAACTTACCAAATAGAAGAAAACCTCATAATCTTCTTGGATATTCAATAGCCTTCTTTTCTAATCTTGATGCCAATTTCCTAATGTTAATATCATTTGATTCTACCATCCAATTTCTTTTAAATTTTGCAAAATTATTGGAATTTAAGTTTGATACTAGTATGCAAAACTAAATCTCAATCCAGCTAATGGATTGATACAAATCTTAGAAATCTTCACTAATTCTTCAAATTCTAATTTTCAAGATTTCAATCTATTTGAGTTTCAATAACTTTTAAATGAATTGTTTTATCAATGTCAAACTTATGACACACATTCAACACAACTATAATCATAGAACCACAAAATTTTACTAATAGATTTATTATATATTTCACAAGTATAAATCTTTTTTTATTTCTCAAAAACCAAAGTTGCTTCAAAACAATCCTAACATTGCATAGCTTTTATAAAGTCATTACAAAAATAAATCTCTCAAAATTAATGTTCAAAGGGCCTCTCTTAAATTTTCTCTCAAAATCCGCTCTTTGATCAACCATAAAACCTTGGAATTACAATAGGTGTGTGGTGTTGTGTCTTGGAATTTGATTTCAACTTTGATTCACAACTAGTCCTTTTGGAATAGCAATTCTTTGTTTCTTAAGGTAATTTTTAGTGTAGACTATTCTTAACTCTTTTCTAAAAATATCTATATTATTTTTTTAATCTACTTTTATTTTTTATTTTATTTATGGCCATATAAATTAAATAGAAATTTTTCATCTTTATTTTAATGAAAGACAATATTAACACTAAATATTTTTACTACCTCTTTATCTTTTACTTGTATTTTGCTACCATATTTTTTAATAAGAATCTTTTATAATAGAATCTATATATATATATATATATATATATATATATATATATTTTACAATATAGTTGTATTATAACACAACATTGCTACTTGCACCAAAAAAAAGCAATGTCATACATAAGATGTGGGCATGTAAGAGAGAGATCATAGTCTTTTTTTAAAAATTACTAGGCAAGCCAAGTAATTATAATTAGGATTGGATGATACTTTGTTTGCTTAAATTTTATCATACTTTAGATGAAAATGAGATTGATTAGTGGTCATCACCCATGAAATGAATGAAATATCAACATAGATATATAATACATTAACATGGAAATGCATGGCTATTATAGGTGGCTGCTATTATACCAAAATTCAAGCATTAGTTATGTTCATGGAATCACTACATGATGTCAACTCTAAAAGTAGCTGTGTGCCCTATATTGTAAATAAGTTCAAAACCACATCCAACCAAGATGGTCTTGTTGAAGAATAGAATAAGATTTATTCTACATAGAAATCAATATTAATTGTATCCTTTATATTATAGCTCTAAAATATGGACGTGATTTTGGATGTTTGAACACCATAGATAAGTTTCCTTACCATGATGCAATGTCTTTAGAGCATTAATATTAAAGCAATGATAAATATGTTAAGTTTTGATGTTTAAGATAAAAAAAAATTGATCAATCAAATAGCTAGTAAGGAACTAAAATTACAATCAACATCTTGGAAAAAAAAAATAATGAGCAACAACAAATAATTTTTAGATTGAAAGGTTTTAATATAAAGAAGAGTTTAAAAGAATGACAACTTTGAAACCATTGATGACTGGTATTTTGAATAAAAGATATTATTCAATTTGTTGAATAATTTTGAATAAATATTTTTTTAAATAATTAAATAATCATAAAAGTACTTATTTTATCATTTTATTATTAATTTGATACATAAAATTTATTATTCTTTGTATAAATAATTAATGGTAGAATGTTGTGATGTTTTTAAACCATTTTTTGATCTTTGAAAAAATAACTATTTAAAATATGATAAATAATATTTTATAAATTTAGGGATGTTTTATATAGATAAAATTTAATACTTATGTATGTTGGGGTACTATTCATCGAAATCCCTCTTTTGTGGCAAATTCATTTCTTCTTATTTACAAATCTAACATTATTATTCTCAACTCTTATATTACTTTTTTTCTATTTCTTATACCTTTTAAAAATATATATAGTCTAGTTTATATCTCTACTCCTTTTTTCTTGATTTTTTTAGGTAATTTATCTTTAAATTTTTGAATTCCAATCTTCTATAATTTATTGTTTTTATTTATTACATATATACACATATTTAAAATGATTCCAATAAAAAATTCTTTGATAAATTAGTATGTTTAGATCTTTATTTTTATTTTTATTTTTTAATAAATTAATTCTTATGCTCTTTTTATAAGTTCTTTTAATATGAAGATAATAATTCTTTTGTAAATTCTATTGATATATATATATATATATATATATATGTGTGTGTGTGTGTGTGTGTGTGTTTAAATATTAAGTCTAGAAAAAAATTATTTAAACTCCACTTTTTTGATAGTCTAAAAATGTTAAAAATATAGAGAGTTTATATTAATATGTTATTTTTATATTTATACCATCTTATTTACAAAACCTATGAAAATTATGCTCACAACTCCCAAATTGATCTCCTCCCATTTTTTATTAGTCTTTTCTAAAGATTGCTTCCGTAACGTCTTATACAATCTTTGTTGCACAGGCAATTCTGTCACCTTCTATAATCCTTGTTGCAGAATCAATTATTTCACCTTCACGTGCCACAAATGCCACAAAGCTTTGATACCACTTGATGAAACTAATCACAAATATGCATTCAATCGAGAAGACATAGAATAAGAAGTTGGATTTTGTCGAGAGTCCTCAAATGTTGCACAACACCTTTGCAGTGTTATATGTAAAGAATTGCTGAAGTGATCACGACTAGAAGCCTGACCGAGTTTTAAATAGTTTGTGGAATTGCAATTATTCATCATAGTTGGAGTTGCCGATCAACATTGCAAGAATCTAGAGATCCGTAATGCTCTTTCTAGGTGTGGAAGTGGTGCTGATGCTTGTGGCCTAAGCTGCTGTCGGGAGTTCCAACGACGGTGATGAGCAGAAGGGACATGAGAGCAAGAAGGCTGAACCAAAGAAGTTGGTAATCTACATTTCAATTGCACCACAAGGTTTATCTTGGCAGCAAAAAAATTAAAAATTTTAATTAACTTATAAAATAACAGAAAAAAAATTTATCTTTATGAAGATGAGAGAATTGAGCTATATTTTATTGGAGTCATATTATACAATGTACAAAGTTTTCAATCATTTAGTTATTAAAAAATACTATTATTTTTGAATATTTCTTATGCAACAAGATCATATTTGTCTTGTTTTATTTTCTTTTTTATTATTATTTATTTAATTCATTTCTCATGAAGATGGTGTTTTTATTTATTATAGTTTTAATTTATTTTTCTAAATCTAAAATACAATATAAAAATTGGATTATCATTTTATCAAATAGATTTCTTCTTATTATTTTTAATATTATCATTTTCTACAAATTATTTATTTTTCTACTCCTAATATATTACATTATTTTAGTAAAAATTAAAAAATAAGGTGAAGTATTTTAAGCACATTAAATAATTTGATATAATATTTATGAGATCATTGTAAAAACGTTATAATATGATTATAGTTAATTTAAAGTTCAGGGTTTATTTCTACAAAAAACATTAAAAAATTAAAATTAATATAATTAAAAAAATTATAGTATAAAAATAAATACCTATATATATATATATATATATAGATTATTACTTAGAAATAAATTTCTAATTTCAACCAATTTCATAATAACTTCTAACAAAACAATTTATCATTTTCTATGTTTAATTTTATTTATTAATTGATCTTGATACTTCTAATATAAATATTGTAACAAGCCATATTCATTTTTTAAAAAAAGTGATAAAAATTTATAAATATACATTTTATGTTTACTTTTATTAGCCTATTAGATTTAATTTCTTTGTTTCTAAAAAAATCTAAATTTATTTTCATATTTATTATCGAATATGATATTTTTATTTTTGGTAATAGTATTTATTTACATTATTATAAAAAAAACTTGGAAATTACACAATTTCAGGAATAAATCAATGAATTTTTTTATATTTCTTTTAAAGTCAAAGTAAAAGCAATAGCATAAATATGAATATTTTTATTACTATAAAAGTCACTAAGGCATAGATAAGTAGTTTTAAATTTATTTTATGATTAAAAATAATTACAGATGTTTTTAAATTTTATCTATAATTTATTTGTGATTTTTTAGTAATTTTTAGGATTTTGTAGATCATATTTTTAAGACAATAGCAAAAATAATTTTACCACTTTTAACTCAAATCTTTGATCTTGAAAGACAATAACTTTTGAGATAAAATCTATTCACTTAAATATTTTATATTTTACATCTTATTTTTTTTAGAAAATAGAAAATAAATTTCTAAGTAAAAAAAAAAAGATATATTAATTCAAAATTAAAAAATAAAAGTATCAAAAGGTTAAAAACATCCAAGTAATTTTAACTTGTAAATCATAAATCTTAAATCTTTAACTTATCATTGACTTTAAAAAATAGCTAAGTTAGATAATTTAAGTACATTGGTTTTTTTGAACTATTATATTTTATAAATACATCTTATTTATTGATTTAAAACCTATTTTAAAAGGTATTATTCTAAAAATGTAATGACCATTTTTTTTGACAATGATATCAAGCTTGAGCACCTTTTTATATTAATATAAGACAAAGATGTGAGATTATCTAATTCATTTGGCAATGATGTCAAGCTTGAGTACCCCTCCATTTTTAAGGTAGTCAAAGATGTGAGGTTGCCCAATTCATTTGGCAATGATGTCAAGCTTGAGCACTCCTCCATATTTAAGGTAGTCAAAGATGTGAGGTTGCCCAATTCATTTGGCAATGATGTCAAGCTTGACCACCTTTCTATATTTAAGGTAATCAAAGATGTGAGGTTGCCCAATTCATTTGGCAATGATGTCAAGCTTGAACACTCCTCTATTTTTAAGGTAGTCAAATATGTGAGGTTGCCCAATTCATTTGGCAATGATGTCAAGCTTGAGCACCTCCTTATATTTAAGGTAGTCAAAGATGTGAGGTTGCCCAATTCATTTGGCAATGATGTCAAGCTTGAGCACCCCCCCCAAATTTAAGGTAGTCAAAGATATGAGGTTACCCAATTCATTTGGTAACGATGTCAAGCTTGAGCATTCCCTCATATTTAAAGTAGTTAAAGATATGAGGTTGCCCAATTCATTTGGTAATAATATCAAGCTTGAGCATTCTTCCATATTTAAAGTAGTCAAAGATGTGAGGTTCCCCAATTCATTTGGTAATAATGTCAAGCTTTTGTTCTTACTTATGTCTAAAGAAGTTAAAGATATCAAATTGCCTAACTCAATTGGCAATAATGTCAATCTTAAACAAGCACTTATTCTTAACACAATCAAAGATGTAAGGTTGCTTAATTCATTTGGCAATGATGTCAAGTTTTTGCACTCACATATTTCAAAGATAATTAAAGATGTGAAAAGTAGCAAATCATTTGGCAATGATGTCAAGCTTGTGTATTTTTGTATTCTTAAGGTAGTCAAAGATTTCATGTTGTCTAATTCATTCAAAAATAATGTTAAGCTTTTCCACTCACTTATATCTAAAGTAGTCAAAGAAATAGAATCTTTAAATTTATTTGGCAAGAATGTCAAACTTTGGTACTTTCTTGCAACAATAGTAATAGAAGATAGAAGGTCCACCAACTTATTTGGAAATGATATCAACCTTGGGCCCCTTCATATCTTAAAGTAAGTCAAAGATATAAGGTTGCCCAATTCATTTGGCAATAATGACAAGCTTGAGCACCCCTTCATATTTAAGGTAGTTAAAGATGTGAGGTTGCCCAATTCATTTGGCAATGATGTCAAGCTTGAGCATCCCTTCATATTTAAGGTAGTCAAAGATGTGAGGTTGTCCAATTCATTTGGCAATGATGTCAAGCTTGAGCACCTCCTTATATTTAAGATAGTCAAAGATGTGAGGTTGTCCAATTCATTTGGCAATGATGTCAAGCTTAAGCACCAACTAATATTTAAGGTAGTCAAAGATGTGACGTTGTCCAATTCATTTGGCAATGATGTCAAGCTTGAGCACCAACTAATATTTAAGGTAGTCAAAGATATAAGGTTGCCTAATTCATTTGGCAATGATATCAAGCTTTGGCAATTTTTAACATTAAGAACTTTTAAAGAATGAAGACTTCCTATTGATGTTGGTAATAATCTTAACCTTATACAATATTGTAAATTGAGTATCTTTAAAGAAGTCATATACTCCATTTCATTTGGTAGCATAGTTAAGTTTGAACATCCTTCTAAGTCAAGTTCTAATAATGTGGTAATTTTAAAAAATAAATTTGGAAGTGTTTCTATAAAAGAACAATTTCTCAATTGCAACACATTTAAACTCTCAAATTTTTTCTAAACATCTTTTTCATGTATCATTTGCAATGCTTTATGTGCTTCTTCTTTTTTTAATTTATATTCCAATGGCATGTTTAGTAGAAAACATCTTAAATTAAGAGAATGCTTTATCAACACAAAAAATATGCTTAATATCTTTATCACAATTTTAGGTGCAAAGACACCAATATTACAACTTAAAAATTGAAGTGATGAAAAAGAAGCACTTCTTACTTTGCCAATGTTATTGTTATTTATGTTGTTGTAAAATAATCCCTCCAACTGTAAATCAACATAATTAAGTATACAAAATATTAGAATTTTTATATTAATCATATGCTTAATATATATACAAATTTAATTATAATAGAAGATTACTTTTTTTTACATAATAATTTTACATCAACATACATCTAAAGAAACAAAATAAAAATTACATAATATAAAAACTAAAAATTCCATCTTTTAAATGTTGATTCTTTTATATTATTATCAATTTTCTACATGCAATTTACATAATAATTTAGTAAAATTACCTTGTTTGATAATCCATAAAATGGATCTATATTCAAGTTCCACATTCTTGTATATTTATACTCCATTTCTTCTTCAACAATATTCCTACCCATGTCTCGTAGTTGATCATGTACTCTTATAATTCCATCTTTGTCTAATTTTATCAATGATTGGTAAATCAATGTATTTAAAGTAAATTCCATGTGATGTTCCAATATGTGTTTTTGACTATTGACCCATATTCGCAAAGCTCTTTCTTTTGACATGCCTTGTGGACAAACATCATTACAAAAGAAACAACATATGTCCAAAAACATTTTTTTTTTCTTCTATTTTCAAAGTTTCAAAGCTTACTCTTAATATCTTCCAAATCTTGTAGTTACTATTGTTTTCATCTCCATCCAACTTTCTTCCCCTTTTCAACTTTTGTAAAGCTCGCTCCCAACATCTCAACCTTTTCTTTTCTCTTAAAAATGCTCCCATAACTTTTAGACTCAATGGTAGGCCATTACAAGCTCTTACAATTTTTTTGCCAACCTCAATGAGTTCAATGGGTAGACTTTCTTGGCCACATGAATGAGTAGTAAACATCTTCATACTTGTTTCTTCATCAAGTTCTTCAATATTTAATTTACAAATCTCTTTACCACAATCCTTCATTATATTTGAATCTCGAGTTGTTGCAATCAATGTGCTACCATTGCTAGCAAATATGTCATCCATAGGCACAACATCTTCAATTTGACTTTGATTCTTTATATTGTCAAACACCAAAATTATTTTGTTCTTTGTTAAAAATGATTTTAACATTTTATGAGCTTCTTTTGCATCTTTTGGTTTTTCTTTGACTTGAAATTGTTCTAAGATATTGCAAGAAGTTGTATAGCAATCACTTCCGCTATCAATGCACTCAACAAAGCATGAGGCATTATACATGTTTTTTACATTAATCAATGTAGCCTTTGCTATTGTGGTCTTGCCTATTCCACCGATTCCAACAAGATACAATACCTTCACTTCATTTGCACATAGTTTTCTAATTTGTGATAAATATTGTGCTCTACCAAATATTTCCTCTTTAGATAAATCTACCTACAATTAACAAATTTAACCACAAATTAACAAAAAAAAATAAGAATGATACATACACTATATTTTAACTTAGTCTTACTAACTTGAGCTCATACAAAGGCATGTAAACACCATTAATTTAAAGAAGAGTGAGAAAAAAACTATAAATAAAAATTAATACATTTAATCAAAGACATAATTACTTTGATTTTTAGTATAAGTCTTACCAATGGCGATTCATTATGTATTAGCTGAAATCTTCTACTTTGATGACAATTCTTATTTGATTCTCCAAAATATGGTGCATTTGCCACTTCAATTCCAACTAAAAACTTTTTCTTTATTAAGTTCAATCTTTTACAAATATTTGCAAACTTTGGCCGATGCAAAGGATTCAACATCCAACACTCTTGGATAAGCTCAATCAAGTCATTACAATTTGAAGGTAACTTTGGTCTTTCACCTTTTTCAATTCTTTCTAATATTGCTTCCATCTTATAAACACCATCGAATGGGTCTTTTCTTGAAAGAATCTTAGAGCATACCATTGCAAATGAATAAACATCTGCTTCAAAAGGACACATTGTTATTGTTTCAAATTTGCTTTTCAATACCTCAGGGGCCATATATGCAACAATGCCATAAGGTTCTTCATTCTTTGTGGTTTCTGGATTGCTTCCAACTTCAATCTTAGATATTCCAAAATCTATCACTTTCACAATAGCATGTTGAATAATCTTATTCATAATTTTTATCTCCATGACATTAACCAAAATGTTTTGAGGTTTTAAATCACGATGTGCAATGTGCATGTCATGCAAGTAACACATCCCTTTTGCAATTTGATATATAATATCAATAAGAAAAATATAAGATGTTTGCTTTGTATTTTCCAGCATATCATTTAAATTTTTTGGCATCAATTCCATGCCAATATACAAATAGTCTTTTTTAACTACTATCTCAGAAGATTCACCACTTTCATTTGCATGACCTTTCATTGCAAAATAATATGTTATCAAGTTGGGGTGGCATAAATTGGCTAAAATGGTCACTTCTCTTTTAAAAAACTTGTTAAGTGCAACATCCATCTTTTTGATTGCACACAAAACTCCCAACCACTTTGATTCATAAACCGCTCCAAAACTTCCCTCACTTATGTTTTTTATGAATTGAAGACTCTCTATGTTAGATGATAGTTTTAAATCATCCAATTCCTCCTCATCTATATGAAGTAAATCTTCTAATCTTTGTAGTAGATGCTTTGCTAGTCCACAATATTCAAAATCATCTATTCCATTTGCATGAATCAACCTCTCATATACAACTTTAACATCATCTTGTACTTCATCATATGTTGCAACATTAAAAGTAGCAAATGAGACGTCTTCAAGTTTTTTAGAATAATTCTTTAAAAGTATATCACTTGCTATATCACAACAACATTTCAAATCCAAAAGTAATTCTCTAAAAGTCTCTTTGTTATTTAATTGAACGATAGCTTCTTTACACCAATTTGGTTTACCACAATTTTCTATTAGAAAATAAGATTTATTTAATATAAAAAACAACTCACTTATTAAAAGCCTAAACTCCAAAGCATCATTGGTGCAAGTCATTAGGTGGTCACAAACCTTAGTAACATGTTCAATTTTCTTACACAAATGTACACATTGGTTTTTATTCAATAAGTTATTTTTGTTTAATAAAACCTCAAATGCTCCAATATAAACTTTAGATCCTTTCCAAGTATCTCCAAAAATACCTTGCAAACTTGATATTTTGTCATATTTTTCCATGGTACTTGAAAATCTTGTCATGAAAAAACCATGTAAAAAGCTCCAAATCATGATTATATAATGCTTGAATAATTCCAAAAGATATTCCATGATGAATTAATGAAAATCAAATCCAATTTCACCTTCTCATCACTTGTTGAAACTTACATATTAGATATGTTTGGTATTTCAAAAGTATTCATCAAACACTCTTTCAACCATATTATCCCACAATCCATACAATTTTCTATCCTACAAATTGAATTTATGTTTTTAAAGCTAAACCATCAATCTTAAATAATCCTAATGGCTCGTCCTCACAATATTGAAAATGTTGATATATATGTTCACTTGCTTAAGTAAATATATTTAAGTCCAAATGGTTCTTGTAAAGTAACACCACTAATCCTACACAAAATAAAGAAAATTAAATGTAATAGTCAATAACACATAGTTCAAGCACTTTTGAGAGGCAATGTATTGTCAATAACACAAATAATAAACAAAAAACTCCAATAGACAAAGCCACCACAACAATATCAACATTTTCACAAGGAAGAATAGATAATAAGAATTCAATAGGAATGTAGAAGCATTGGAGATGAAAAATTCAAAGTAATGTTTTTATCCTGATTGTTGGATGCATTTAGGATATGCATTCCTATTCCTAAATGCATATCCTAAGTATTTTAGCAAATATAACCAAGGAGCTTAAGAAGAAATCGTACACAAAGAAGAAAACCCGTAATTCACTCCCATCATGTCACTACATCACTCACCCAAGTTGGCGTACCCATTCCAAATGCAAATGGTGAGTTTCTTACTAGTTGCTTGTTGTCATTTTACCCAACTTATAAAGAGTACTTGAAGAGAATGCACGAGGGATTGAGGTAATTAAAAAGCCATTCAAACACTATTTTTCAACCCAATGAATTATGAGACCTATAAGGCTTAAAATTTCAGGATGTAAATGGTTTAACCATTACCTAAGTTGATTTTCTCGTATTATTCCAAACAAACTACATAGTTGTTTCGATCAATATGGGGAGGAAGGTGCACCAGTTGAATTGGATATCAAGCACGATAAGCAACTCTTGTTGAATTGAGCTCCTACCTCATAAAGGATTAAGATTCAATATCACCAGCTCAGAATATAGATCGTTATGAAGCCTGTATCTTGTATCTGGGCAGGCTTCGAGTCGCTTGCTGTTGCGGATTCTTCAAAATTAATCTGTTGCTAAGGCGGAGGATTGATAACAGTCATGGGCATCACCACGTTGTCCGATAAACGTCCCTGCATCTCGCGATGCTCCTGACATAGTGCATACCAGTGCAAACAGCAATGGACGGTACACGGTTCACAGTTCTGCAGCGATGGCACATTATACAAATCAGCCACTAGCCGTGATTATGTCATACTCAGTTCTTTGTCAACGGGATATACTACCTGGAAATTGTGCATGTACTACCCATCCCCCAAAGCATTAGGATGGTAAAATACGTGTCATGAATTCATCATAAACAATCGATTTACACACAGAACTAAAAACAAGATTGTATGAAAATAATTGACCTGGAGGTGGTATCTCCTTTGTAACTCTTGTCGAAATAAGCCTGCGTATATGCCACACATCCACCACGCAAAGAACAAGGCTTCTGCTATGAGAAAGGCAGCCTGGGGATCTATTCCATGACTGCACAGTCATCCAGAACGTAAATTAACACAACTTTTGGCCGCTATGTTGAGCACAAAGAAGGGCGGAAATTCATATTACATTCCAAACAGTCTGAAAACCATGCATGTGATTGGATGTCGAATTCTGAAAAATATTCTCCGTTTCAAACATACAGCTATAGGCATGTACTTGACAAACATACAGTTAACCACAGCAACGAAAGGGACACGGTACAGAACGATAGACCCTCGTTCCCGATAAAAAAGAGTACATTCGCAAAAAATAAAACAAAATTGCATGCAGACCCTCCTAACTAGAAACGAAGTGCTGATGTCATAACATATCAGCCTACGGTAACTTAAGTTTGAACTGGACCTAAGAATATGAATTTGCAAAGTTGGACCTAAGAATTGGGAACAATCAAAATTGAGAAGCATGCGGCACACCAACCCGGGGCTGCCAAGAGATCCCCAGAACGCCATGAAATCAGGCAAGTGGAGGAGTGTAAAGGAGTTAACAGACGAGGAATATGAGATGGAATGAGAAAGCAGGTTTGGATGGGAATTGTGAGATCCGGTTTGCCGCACTGGAGGAGGGAGCACTGTGCAGCAACAAAGATCGAAAGAGCAAGAGAAGGAAGGTGAGAAGAGCATACATACATACCTGGGAGGGAGGGAGGCAGGCAGGCAGGCAGAGAAACGGAAGGCGAGGGAAGGGGCGGGTTCCAGTGCAAGTGGCGTGGTGGTGGAGATGGCAGTGATGCGTTAGATTGCAGGCATGGGGAAGGAAGGGAGTGGCGAGAGTCACGAGAGGAAGAAGAGGAGGGCGGGGGAAAGGCAAAGGAGCGGAGGAGGACGAAGGCAGAGCAGAGTGGGGTTAGGGTTGGGGGGGAGAGGGGCATCTCGGAAGCCGGTGATTCCACCCCCATTCACACCTACGAGAAGCATGCGGCACACCAGTCCATCATGCATGTCTTTCTATAATCATATTAGTATTCTTCATCATTCTAGTATCTTTATTGCATTATGAGCCTAACACAAAACACTATGTGCTTTCTACAAATCTTGAAGATTTAGAAATTTCCACATTGTTCATGAAGTTATTACATATAATAATATATACATATCTAATACAAGGCTCCAATGCATATAGTATTCTTTCATTGTCTAAATGGATCAAACACCACATTATTTGGCTAACTTAGTTTTAAATTTTTGAATCGAAATCTTTAAAATTTATGGATTTTGAATAGTCTAATTGTTTTCATTAAAGAATGTTGATGACAACAGTCTTTTCTAGCTACTTTTAAGTTAGTATTATGAAAACAAATGAAAATAGAAGTACAAATGTTTAGATTTTTACTTTTAATTTTTAAATATATTTTTTTTAATTTTTTGTGATATATATATATATATATATATTTCTCTCTCTAAATTTATATAAATACTTTTTTTTTATAAATATTACTTTAATTTAAATAGAAAATATTTTGAATTCAAAAATTTCAAATCTATATAATTTTTTATTTTTGAGTTTAAATTAAATCAATAAATAACAAATTTGTTATATATATTTTATACTTTTTTATAAGATAATCTTAGACTACATTACAAATAATAATTGTTAGCTCTTTAAAAACCTTCTTGAGTACATAAAATTAAAAAATTTATGTTTTTCTTTAAAAAATTGTTTAAAGGTCTGTGCTATAAAAGAATATAATATGTATTAATCTTATCTTTATTTGTATCAACTTGTGTGTTAAGTATTTGTAGGTCATTTGGTTTGCAAGAAAATTATATTATAATATTATATTTTTATTATAAATTTCTAAATTAAAAAATATCCTAGTATCAAAAAAAAAAAAAAAAAAAACAACAACAACAACAACAACAACAATAACAATTATAATAATAGTCTTAAAGTAATATTTAAGGTATGTAGAATATAAGCAAAACAAACTATGAGAATAAATAGTTTATATTCTATTTTTTTTAGAATGCCAAAATATAACTTTTTTGGAATTCATAGCAAGAAATCATAAAATAAAAATAAATACAACCATGAAAAATATAATAACTATGATGTGGTTTATATAAATCTTATATAATATTTATATATGTGTATATATATATATATATATATATATACATACATATACTTAAATATAATATTTTAGTAGTTTTAAAGCCACTTAAATTAGGTTTTTAATAAACTAATAATTGTCATAATTACAATAGTAAAGAGATAACAAGAATTGTTTGAGTTTTATGAAATATGTCAAGCATAGATAGATAGAGAATAGTTTTCTTAGGTAGAAGGTATTTAGCCATTTTTTCTTAATTCTAGTCAAATAATATTTGTTCTCCTCTATCATAAGTATTTTATTTTTTTCAAATAATTATTCTTTTTCTCACCTAATTAAAATTTAAAATACAATGATTAATCTTTAGATTTCTTTTAATCTTTATTTTAAATTTAATTTAATGTTATATTTTTTTGTTATTTTTCTATAAGTAAAGTTTAATTATTTGGTACTAAATTTGTTGTTAGAAGGGTATGGATTTGCTTCATTTTTTCTTATAATATTTAGATTTTTTTAAGTAGAAGCTTCTTAAAGCAAGTTTTTTTTTATAAGCTTAAAATTATTGCATTTGGAATTGGAATAAATTTCTTACAATAGTTCAAGTGAAGAATAGTCCATTCTTTCAGTAATTTAAATCATCTAATTTTTTAAAAAAAATCTAAATACTCAATTAAAAAATTCATATAAAATTTAATAGTCCTTAAGTTTTTCAAGTTGGATTTGTAATAAATCAAGAATAATCAAATTTGAAGCAATATAGAGATAAAGATAGGTATTGGAATATAAAAAGATCTCTAAATTAGCATATGATTTAATGCAAGAATATATATATATATATATATATATATATATATTCCATAATTATATTACCGCCTTATATACATTCTACATTTTAGTTTTAGAACTAATAAAATAAAGACCTTATATATATATATATATATATATATAGGGAGTTGTTTCTTGCTGCATCCTAATGTTGTTAATGCCACACTTCTCTTTGCCATCTCATAATAGATTTAGTCTATTCCTTGTCCTTGTCAATATCTCCAATTCTTCTATTCCTAATCCTTGCTTTTATTTTCTGCCCTAATTTCTTGGCTTGAAACTCCCACCCTCTCTTTATTCTCTGTTTTTTATCTCTTATCTCTTGTTCTTTGTTTCTAGTTCTATGTTTCCTATTCTTTATTTTCACCTTAGAATAGATATTGTGAATGGAAACAGAGAGGTATTGAAAGAGAGTGGAGAGGGGATGGAGGTAGTTTGGAATGGTTTATTGTGTTGATATTATTTTTTTTGGTTTTTTTATTACTAAAAAAATATAAATAATAAGGTGCCACCTTTAAGTATTTTGTGATTTTTTTATATAAGTTTCATTCCATTCTAAAAAATATTTGAATTTCTAATAATGAAACTAAAAAACAATCTTAGTGTATATATATATATATATATATATATATATGTGTGTGTGTGTGTGTGTGTGTGTGTATGTGTGTGTGTGTGTGTATGTGTTTGTGTAATTTTAGAGCAATATTTATATAAATTGTGAATTTTTCAATTGATACTAGATTATACTAAAAATATATAATGTGAATTTTTAAAGAAATTTTCTATTATAATTTAAAAAATAAATTTAATTATTACTTGCCATTTAAAGCTTAATCCATGTACAAAAGCTTTTACATAATTGAATACATTATTAAAGACAGTGATCTTTTGATAATATCAATACTGCTTTAAGTGAAAGTAAATTGGAAATAAAAAACTTTCATGGTTTTTTTGCATACTAAAATCAAAAAGAATTTATTTATTTTAAGATGAGAAATAAGATTATTAATAGAAATTTAAATCTAAATTTTTTTATTATCTAAAATTAATGCAATTGAAGTTGGTAAATGATTACACATATGTAAATTAATAAATCTTATTTACTACTAATAATCTTTAAATTTTATAATATTTTATTATTATCTGTACTAAATAGCTTAAAATAAAGAAGATAATAGAAAAAAATAAAAAATAAGTTACGATTATTTTATATTTTTAAAAATATATAATATTAATTTAATAAATATTTCAACATGTTGTATAGAAGATGATTAAAATAAAGAAAAAATGAAGTTATTTAATGATTATAGAATATTATGCTTGCTAAAAAATAAAAAGAAATAAATACTTTTATAAAAAATACTTTTGATAAAAAAATAAGTAAATAAATCTTTTAAAAAAACTTTGTTTTTTTCTTCCAACTTCATGTGAATATTAATATAGGTAAACACTATTCTAAAGTAATAAAAAAAAGTATCTTTGAACTTCTATAGCTTGTGATATAAATTATTTCTATTCTATTACCACTATTAAAAATATCTATGTAATAGGATATCAATAAGATATTCGTATTATTGGCACATAAAAATAGGTAATTGGAGCCATATTTTGAAAGTTTCTAAAATTAGAGTTAGGTTGGTGATCTATATGGGATCCACCATAGAACATTCTAGAAAGAGTTTAGGATGATTATCTTGGTAGGACCTATCATTAAGAACATTCTAGGAAATTCTAAGATAGTTGGACAAAGTATAAGTAGGATTGGTGAGGACTATTTGGATATTGGTCAAGTATGACTTTGGTCCCATTCTCTTAGTAAATTTTGGTTTTACATTTTTTTGTTCAATTTTGTTTAAACTTTTTTTGCTTTGTTTTGCCTTTCATATTGTATTTTGTTTAAATTTGTTTAGTTTTGTTCTGATATATATTTTCCTATGTTGTAATATGATTTATATTGCTAAAAATTGAAAAGGTTTCAAATTTGAGAGATACTCCAATCTTGTTTTATTGGTATCAGAGCAAATATTAGTCTATTTTTTTTAATAGTGTGTTGATAGCCACCATTTAGTTGGAGGTCAGTTGCTATCGTCACATTAAATATTGTTTTGAGGCTTCAACAAGCTACTTTTAAGAAGTCAGTTGGAAGAAGATAAGGCATTATAGTACCAAAGTTGAGTAAGAAAATTATAATATGAGAGATATGGCAAAGCAATCTTAGATAGAGATTCAAATATAATACCTATAAGGCTAGATAGCTACTCTATAAGAGCAAATGGAAGCCTCTAGGATAAGGGACTCAACATCAACTAGGCTGAAATTAAGTAAGTCTAATACATACTCTCGAACTTTAAGGCAAGAAGATATATGTTAATAGCTCTTTAGCGTGTGACAATACTTCTAAGTATCTTGGACAAATACCAATGAAAGAATTATGTATATCGCCAACTATTTAAGAAATGTGGCAACCATTTGGTGGCAACATCGAGCTCAAAGCTATAGAGCTTAAGGTGGATTTTGTGACTAAGAAGAGTTTAAAACCAAGTTTAGGAGTCAATTTTGGCTCATCAATGTAATAAAGATAGCATGCAATCAGTTGGCTAATCTTACACAATTCAAATTAGTGCAAGATTATGTCTCTCGATTCAAATCTTTATATCTCTTAATTGATAAAGTTTTACAAGCAAAGATTATGGATTGATTTGTACAAAGATTGAAACATGTGGTCCAGCAAGAGGTGGAATTAAGGAATCCACAAACATTTGAGGAGGCAATTAGGATTGCAGAGAGGATTGATGCTATAGATTTCAAAAATCAGGAAGCATGACCTACAATGCAAAGTCTTATACTGCTATGTAATATTATAGCACAACAACCACTGACAATAGAGATTGATATCCTGCAAGAATCACTAACACCATAGAAATGACAAATATTAGCACAAAAGGGATTATGTTTCTATTGTCAAGAGCT